TCCCGCGGCAGCGCCGCGTGGGTGAGGACATCTCCTGAACGCCTCCAACGCTCCTTTCCCGGCAGACTTGCTGCCGTCCACAGTTCGAAAGCCCTTTGCGCCTTCAGAGCTGCCTTCCAACGACCAGCTGTTACTTTCAGCACCGGCGTCTCTCACCGTCACGGATAAAGGCGCGCTGATACTCACCGCTGAGGCAGGAAGAGGATTATTACCTAAAACCCACAAATACACTCTTCTCAAAAGATGAACTGAGGGGAGACGAGATGAAAGCAAGTTTAAGTTACTTCAGTTCCTCAAACTACATCCTTATTTTATTCAAACTTAAAAACCTGTCCAAGGGTTTTTATTGCATAAACAAAGAGGCAACACATTTATATTGAATATTAATAAATCATGACTGTGAACTCTGTACTGGAAATATAATTTTATGAAATGTTAATGGAAAGCATGATCCAAATGTTTATAAACTAAGTTGACTGAATCTAATAGGTATAAGATACTGTCAATCTGAAAGAAAGCTCACTGATGTTGGATTAAATATATAAAACTATGGCTCAAGTTAACGCTATTGCCCAGCTCTCCAGTGAGACAGATAGACAGAGAATCTCTTGGTCACAGAGTAATCACAGGTAACGTGGTACAGACCTGGGCCTAATATTACTCCAGATAAAAAGATTAGCAAATCATCTTATTTTTAGTTTGTGAATTTGACAGCATAGTGTAAAAACCATTAACGTCTTTTCCCTGCATACTTAGTCCTTTGTTTGTAAGGGTCACAAATAATGGATCAGAAAAAGGGAAGAGGAAAAACAATTAAAACATGGAAAATACAATCAGTAAAAATTGTGCAAGGATCACCATAGCAGCTGCAGTATTTGAAACCTCATTTAGCCTTAGCAGTGAATTATTTTTGATCTTAGTGACATGGCTTCATTATTTTTTAAATTCTGCCCTTGTAACAGAAGAGCAGAAATACTTTTATTACTAAATGCTCTTTATTTTTGTCTACATCCTATCACTGCATAAAGGTCACATGTCTTTTTAAATATAATAAAGCTATCAAAAGGGTAAACCTCATCCCCTTTCCCTCCTCACCCCAAAAAAAGAGAAAGACATAAACCAACATGCTGCTTCTGTTTTTTAAGCAATATGCTTTCAGAACATAAGCACATTTCTGGTTTAAATAGCAGCAGAACCAGCTGATGTGATATTCATTACTTGTTTACAATTTTGCATGTGCACAAATCTTTAAGCAAGGTTTTAGAAAGGCAAGCGCGCAGCAAATCTGTAAACTTTTACATCCTCAATCATTTGCTGAAACATTTTATTGTGTTCAAGTTAATACACATTATATTTTGCACAAATTTTGTGTAAAGCCCCACTGGATTTACACGAAGCTTTAGAGACCCAGTTCTAGATCTTCCAGTTCTTGAAGGAGAGCAGTTTCTTTCTGAATCTTCTCCAACTAGAAAAACAAGAACACGAGATATCAGATCTAGCTAATTATATAGGAAATCAAAAGAGCAGTATTTATGAAGGTAAAACGAAGTTGTATGTAACTCCAGTTTACAGCAGAATGAGAGATTAAAAATGTACCATACACTACAAGAAACTACAGAATAGGCAAACACTGTCATACTCTGTCTGTATAGCCCCGCTGGCACCTCCCTTTCCGTTAAAAGGTCCCATGCAACCAGGACAGCAGTAGACAAGAAAGGCTACCACAAACACCACACTGTCATCCAAGTATTTCTGTTGTATCACGTTCTTCACTAGGCATCGTCCTAATGGGTATGCTACTCTGGGGTGAGTACACAGTTCAGCCCCAGAGACCAAGAAACGGAGAGCTGTACCATTACGGTTGGTCCGTGTCTGTTGTTCATAATGCACTGAAAAGAGGACTAAGAGGACTTAACAGCCAGTGTCCCCACTCCACCTCCTGCAGTAGCATCCCTTTCCTGAGCGCGCGCGTCTGTCCTGTCCTGTCTGTGTGTTCTCATGTACGACGCCCCGCTCACACGGATGACATCCAGCTGGATGCTCAGAGCCCTACCCCAGGGCAGGCAACCCCTTTGACAGCAGTACATGAAACAAGAGTACAGCCTCAACGCGTAACTGCTCTGGAAAATTCAATATAGGTCTCACGTTATTATCTGATACACATCAGTGGCAAAACAGTTTGTAAGAAGAGTCTCTGAGCTTTACAGACCCCAGCTGAGCATGCCTGTAGTTTGGCTGGCACAGGTATCTTGTCAAATCGTAGAAAAATATGTACATTAGTTCTCTTACTGCCTTAAGCCTAATTGGGAATGCCAAGCTCCAACTTGTTTATATAGTGCATTGTCATTGTGTTGCCCAATATCATCTGTATAGACTGATTCCCAGTCGATAGGAGGAAACGTACGCCTAACGTCCTGCTTCTCAGTATAAGCAGAGTATAAACAGCCCTGCCACAAACAGAGCAGTAAGTCTTCTTAGCCCCTCTGGAGAACAAGGCTTTTTTCTTTTTCTTCTAAAGATTATGTAGTTTCTCTTCACAAACGCTCTGTGCGGACCCAACTCCTTTGTCACAGACTTAAAAGACCAGAAATCAGATAACACAAGCTCAAAGGAAC